AATAGTCCGCGACTCAATTTCCTCCAGCACAGGAACAAGGAAATCAAATACAAGCACTTCGCACCCTCGCCATGTTGTTGCCATTGCCGCGACGGATGCATTCCGTGGTCCACGGCGAGTCCAGCGCGACTCCCCACTCCCATGATCATTCATGACTGACAAAAAGGAGGTGCCGAGTGCGTCTTTCGCTCGCCTCCCGCGTGGGGCGAGAAGGATCGCGTCGGGCAGGCCCCACAACTCACACCGTGCGCGACCCCTACACCAATGAGCTGAGCAAAGAGGACACGGCTGGGCAGTTTTGCCGCCCACTCTCAGTGCCTGCCATTCCCCCGCAGCTAAAATGAATAATAGTAAAACACAGGAGAGGCCTGTCTGCGTGGAACGCCGCAGCGAGCGCGCTCGTCCCCGCCCTCAGCACAGCAGTCACGGACCCCCCCGCACCCATTGGGTCACGGCGACTTCCCAACGCCCTGCCCGCATCAGAAGACGCACGTGGGTGCATGCGACGCTGGGACTCGTCTCCTCCCTCCAGACCACCTCGCCACCACGCGGTTGCGCATAAATTCATTCCCTCAGCGCGCAAATGTCCGTTAAGCCACGCATCGCAGGCACAAGAAAACAAATACACTCATTGTCCGTTTTTCAGAAGCGAAGAGAGGAGTAGCGCAACAGTTGCACGGTGCTATTGTTATCGCTGTGCTGCGTCTCGCGAGTGCGGGGTCGATAATCCAAGTGCACATCACGACCCTGCCGCACGCTGTTCGCGCATTTTCTTTTTTGGGGGGCTTTCGTCGCTTTTAAAAATAAATCTGATGCCCCGCACGCCGGCCACCATCGCAGTGCCGCTCGCCCCACAATCCACGCTGCCCGATAAATTTATTGGCGACAGAGCCCCGGAATCAGAGTCGCCGCGGCCGCTTCCTCGGAACCTCACCCTCGTCTCCTTCCGCACCCTCCGCGGATGTCGGGTCGTACGCTAGAGGCGGATCAACGACCGGTATTGGGTGGCTGCTGATGTTCGGGAAGGCGGTGCACACATCGGCGTATTGGGGGCACACAATGCTCCCACGCCAGGGACCCGATGGCGGCGTGACGGTTTCACCCTCCTGGCACTCGTGCCACGCATCGTCATCAAGGAACCGCACGCTCACTGTGCCGTCGCCGCATCGAGTGTCCACACAAACGTCGCCAATATATTTGTCGTCGAATAGAAGGTCCTGCCCCTTTACGCACCGCGAGTTCGGGCCAACGACACTGCCAAGCAATACTGAAGGATCGCCGTTGGTGCAACCACCATTAGAATACTCCTTGACATACGGACATCTGCTCATATAGGGGTCATCACCGCCAACTCGGGGATCAGCGAAGTACCGATACTCCTGTGGCAGGGCTTCCTCGTGCCTCATCAGGTCACAGGACCCCAGAGACAGACGGTCGTACGTGCAGAGAAGCCTTTTATCGTCGTCAAACTGGCTGCAAAACAGGTCAGGGTATTCGCTGATGCCGTCGGTCAAGCACTTCTTTTCCAGCAGCCCACAGCCAGAGTTGTTGCCCCACCACAACATCTCCGCCGCACTGTAGTTTGCCACATAAACACCCATGTCCTCAAATGCTGCAAGCGTCAGTGCCGAGTACAGCCCAACATCCATATCACTAGTCATCATCTCGTCCCTCATGTTGCGTTTCTTCCAATGCGACAGTACAGTGTCACAACCGCCCTCGTCCTCCAGCTCAATGCCCTCAAGCGTGGAGCAGTTGTGGTACTGACGCGCCATTGCCTTCGTCTTCGGCGTTGAAATCACCGACACCCTGAGCATCCCACGCACGTTCGGGACCTCGGAAATCATATTGAACATCAGAAAATCATCAACATAAAACCCAAGAGCATGCCCCAACTCGTGGGCCGCTACACGCACGTCTTCATGTGTTAACGTTATTTGACTCGGGTCAAAGTTCACGGCAGCAGCAAATGGACGACCATCATCCATTCTGAAGCACGGACCCGCCCACGCGGTTAGACCAGAACTCGGAAAAGCATTGGCGTAGAGAATCATGTCGGCGCCAGCCACACCCACCGTGTGGTGCTTGTGTGGGATGGTGAAGTTATCGCACATCCCCAGTCCGGTTCGAGGAATGAGGACGGGGCGCGTCACGGGCCTCACGGAGAGACGCTCCGCGTGCAGTTGAATGGCGGCGGGGAGAGTTTGCCCCAAAATAATGCTCCTCCTCTCCTCCGTCAACACGTCGTCCGCCTCGCATGTTATTGCGCGTCCAAAGTGGTCAATGCGCAGATCCCCCGCCGCAGTGCAGTGCCTCAACGGATTGTGCATGTCCTCCGCGGACACCCTGATGCGGATCGGAGCCCAGCCATCGTCCCCATCCTCGCTGGCGGCGGTGTACGCCTGCACGGCGCCCTGTCCCCGGCGCGGCACCTCACGCACCACCGCAGTCGGCAGCCGGCCGTATTTCTTCATCATCGCGTCAAACCCACAGCGGTGCTTCACTGCACGATCGGCGGCAACGAAAACACCGGCGCAACACACCACCATTATGAGCCACGGCAGCAGCAGTGGCAGCAGCGCGGTGTGGCGTGGCTGGCGCATGGCTTGGGGACAATGTGTCTGTTCCTGGGGTGCGGGCAGCAGCAGTGGTATTAGTCGTAGTGGTGGTGGTAGCACAGACCTTGTCTGCGGGAGGAGAAGCAGAAGGAAGAGGAGAAGAGCAGAGGGGCAGCACTACAACTTACCGCAGCGCACACACAGACAACAAAAATAAGCAGAGCCTCCAAATAAAGCCGAAGCACGGAAAAATGTTCTGCAGCGCTGCTGGCCAGATCCCGAACTGATACGCACAAATAAAATAGGACGGGAAAGAAGAGGGCCATGGAGAGGCAGCGGCCTCGCCACATCCTCAATTTTTGTCCCAAGTATATCTATGTATTCTGACAGGCACTCTCGTGCCACGGTGCGGTTTATTCGGGTTGGAGACATTTATTACCTACGAATTGGAACACTTTGGGCTCCTCCAGCCACAATACCTCGCCGCAAGGTCGGAACCAAAGAGGGTGGATGGCAAAAATAAAAATAAAAATAAAATTCGTCTTGCCGCTATCGGTTCCGTGACTCCTTCCGTCGGGGCCTTCCAAAGGAACATAAGGTAGGAAAAGGATCACACGCAAATATTTTCGTCGTTTTACCAGGATATATATTAAATTGGGCAGCCAGCCCTCTCGATAACATTCTTCTCACAGGCCCTGAAAAGTACCATCACACCATCTACGCAGTGGCACGCACACGGAGTGAGGAGAGGGCACAGGAGAAAAAAGTATAAAAAATAGTCCGCGACTCAATTTCCTCCAGCACAGGAACAAGGAAATCAAATACAAGCACCTCGCACCCTCGCCATGTTGTTGCCATTGCCGCGACGGATGCATTCCGTGGTCCACGGCGAGTCCAGCGCGACTCCCCACTCCCATGATCATTCATGACTGACAAAAAGGAGGTGCCGAGTGCGTCTTTCGCTCGCCTCCCGCGTGGGGCGAGAAGGATCGCGTCGGGCAGGCCCCACAACTCACACCGTGCGCGACCCCTACACCAATGAGCTGAGCAAAGAGGACACGGCTGGGCAGTTTTGCCGCCCACTCTCAGTGCCTGCCATTCCCCCGCAGCTAAAATGAATAATAGTAAAACACAGGAGAGGCCTGTCTGCGTGGAACGCCGCAGCGAGCGCGCTCGTCCCCGCCCTCAGCACAGCAGTCACGGACCCCCCCGCACCCATTGGGTTGCAGCAACTTCCCAACGCCCTGCCCGCATCAAAAGACGCACGTGGGTGCATGCGACGCTGGGACTCATCTCCTCCCTCCAGACCACCTCGCCACCACGCGGTTGCGCAGAAATTCACTCTCCAGCACACAAATGTCCGTTAAGCCACGCATCGCAGGCACAAGAAAACAAATACACTCATTGTCCGTTTTTCAGAAGCGAAGAGAGGAGTAGCGCAATAGTTGCACGGTGCTATTGTTATCGCTGTGCTGCGTCTCGCGAGTGCGGGGTCGATAATCCAAGTGCACATCACGACCCTGCTGCACGGCTCCCTCGCTTCTCCGGTGTGCTTGCGCAGTCACTTGCTGCTGTTCGAGGAGTCACCATCGCCACTGTATTGACGGCCACGGCAGGAACACGGGTGGACCGAGGCCAACAACAGGAGGCGTATTAAGTCTTATAAGACGGGAATATTTCCCGCTGTCGGTAGTTTGTTGTTATGGAAGGTAAGAGATGATGCTCATTGCCTGTATTTTATTTCGTTTTTCTTTAGGAGTTTTGTACGTCTCATGTGTGTGTCACGGTGAAAAAAAGGGTTATATAAAATTATGCATTCAAATTTTTACCCTCCTTTGCCAGCGGTGCAAAAAAAAAAAAAAAAAAAAAAAAAAAAACAAGTGCAATTGTTTTCCTTTCATATGCAATACAATTCCTTGTGTGTAAGGTTGATTTTTCTCCCCGTTTCTCATATTTTCAACAGTTTTTTTTTTTTTGTCTTAACTTTGAGCCCCTTTGGCGCGTGAATGTGAACTGTCAAAATATTATTATTATTATTATTATTGTTTTTGGTTCTGTGTTATATCCGTGGTACAGAACTCATGGTGTTTTTGTTTTGCTTTTGTGTGTGTGTGTGTGTGTGTTTTGTATGAGATTGGGAGGGCCGTACCTTCCTGTGCATTTTTTATGTATGCTCTGACCTTCGGCTAATTTTTATTATTACTCGTGGCACAAATTTGTCTTTGCGTAAATAATTAAGTTGTGTAGAGAGTGGAACAAGAATGTTGTGGAGGCATATTCAAGGTGTGTTAGAGAGTACTCAACATGCCAAGCAAACTTCTCCTCTCCTTTCTTTCTTACCAACTAGCGTAATGGCAACCTTTTTACTGCCCCGCCTTCGGGAAACTTCTTAATTTGCTTTATTTTACACGTATCGTGTGAATCTGCGGGCCGCGATTTCCCTCACCACGGTATTTCTTTGAAGTCCTTGAAGAACTTTCCGTACGCCCTGCTGTTTGTGTAAATGAGGTCCAAACAGCGTGCGGCGGCGTCAATCTCATCAAGTGGACACAAAAGCAACTGTTCCGCTCGCCGCTCTTTTTTCAACCTTGGCGACTCATCGGTGATCCACCCCGTATCTACGGAGTTCATAAAGATCCCGTCTTGAGCATAGTCCTCACCGCTCGTCCGTGTCATCATATTGAGGGCAGCCTTCGCCATGTTGGTGTGTGGATGCGTCACCTGCTTGTAACGGTAGAACTGGCCTTCCATAGCAGAGACGTTTATGATAAACCGTTCCTCGCTTGGTGCCGCATCTCCTTCCCGATTTAGCAAACAGGGCTTTAGCTTGCCGTTAATTATCAGTGGCGAAAGTGCGTTGATGGCCATGATCTCTGCTGCCTCACTTCCTGGCACCTCAGCCAATCGCATCATCCATGAGTTCGTCTCACGCCTGTCACTTTCTTCCGTCTGAGTGTCATAACGGTCAAAAATTAAAGAGTGCGTATCGGCGGTACGGGCTGTGGCGACAATCGACTGCTGCTTTTCGCCCGTCACGTTCTCCTCATGGACCATGTCTTTGCCGTTCGCCACGGCCTTCACATCATCCAGAAATGGCTGCTCGTGTGGATGGTGCTCGATGCGAAGGGGTTCCCCAATTGTCACCGAAGTGTGTGAGAGAAAAAATCGATGCCACTCCCCCGCTTTCGTGTCCTCGTACAAACGGCGGTGCAGTTCTTCTGGTGGGAAAGCCTCAACATGACGAACATGAGCCGTGTACTCCCTTGTTCGTGCAATGGTTTGTGCGGCGTTGTTAATGATGGCAAATATTTTTGGAAAGTGTTGCCTCACAAAGGCACAAAACTGCGTCACCAACCAAAGATCCCGGAGGTCGAGAGCGAAAAGGTGCAGCCGATCGCCCCACGTGGCATAGTCGGCCTCACGCTGAAAACGTGCCAATGCCTCATGTACAAACCGGGTAGTGCCCACAAGTCGAGCACCGCACCGCAAGAGGGAGAGGGCCATTGCGAAACCAATTTTAATGCGGCAGCCAGTGAGCAGCACAACTTTGCCACGTAGGTCTCGCGTAAGAAGTCTCTTATTAAAATTGTATTCCCCACAGAGGTGACAAAGGCTGTAATAATAAGGGTGCAACTTGTTGTACCGCACGCGGCAAGTATGACAAGCAATCCAGCGGTTTAATTGAAGGACTTCGTCAGACGGGACGGTCTGACCGGCAGCGTACATCCGCGCATCATCAAATACAGAGTAGCTATCGGGTTCCTCATCCTCCGATGTCGGTGGGCAAGTGTTAACTTTAAAAGGAGATTCTCCCCACTCTCGGACCCGACTGCTCGCATAAAGTCTCCGGGCAATGAAGAGATTCAACGACGCCTCCGCTGAAAACGTGGATGCCCCATTCCCATCATGGGAAACAAATCGGTTATCAGCCACACCCTCAGCAAGTACAGCCTCCAGGGATCTTAAAATATCTGTTGCCGGCACGATGTGTTGAACGGCACAAAGGACGTCAGTTAACAGAGAGTTCATATCACCACACTTCCGCAGAAATGATACCTTTCGAAGCAAAGTAGAGTCCGCCACAAACACATCTTCCTGTGTAGAAAGAATATTTCTTATTCCGGTGTTGTTTCTGCCATCTCTCGTGTTGTTCTCATCATCCTCTTCATTATTTTTAGTCACCTCCGCTAATTTCATCCATTCAAGACAAAGATGTGCGATGCGTAGCTTTACAACTGCCGTGTATTTTTCTCGCTGCTCAGGAGGGGTCATGGCGGGAGCGGCACCGCGAAATAAAGCAGAAGGCATTTGTGATCCAAATGCATGTGGCAAGTAACGATAGACCTGCGCCACAAGCTGCGAAATTTTTAGCCAGTCTGGTGCGGTGGGATTGACATCATAAGTCTCTTCCAGGCGAATAATATTCTCAAATGCACCAATCAATCTAATAATCTGCCGATCATACGCGGAAAAAGAGTCAAGAGCATCCTCCTCACGTTGAGTCTCCGCCAGCATGTCACCTTCGCTAAGTTCCGGGCGCTCGCAGGTGGGTTTTGTTTCCGATGGTCCTTCAATCGCCAACATTGGCGTGGTTGGCCGCTGCATCAACGCATTAAGAGCCTCCTCTCGCTCTCGTTTCATTTCCGTGCGTCGTATGGCTTCAATGTCTTGCATGCGTTTAAAACGTTTTCGTCGGCTCTTCTCCGCATTCATGATCATTTTGTACACTTCGCGGTTTTCACGTTTCGTCTTGCGGTCCCGTGTGATCATCGTGTACAGGCGGCTCTCGTGGAGATAATTATCCCCCACGAAGAGAGAGGGATTATGAAAAAGCGTACGCACTACTTTGGTCGCCACAAGCAGCTCTTCAAGCGTAAATCCCCAGCGGGCCTCACGTTCCGCAAGTGACATCGGCTTCCCTTCCTCCTGGCCATTGGATGGGAGCTCTTCCTCGGCAGAATCCACAATGCGACTCATTATTAGTCCTTCCTTTATGGATTATATTATTATTATTATTATTATTATTATTTTCGTGTTTCCTCCCTTTGCATTATTTCCATCCGTAAACGTCATGTGTGACATCATTCACAGCAAAAATAAAAGAGAAGTGCAAAAAAAAAAAAAAAAAAAAAAAAGCAGCATCTTTTTCCCACATGCCCCTTTTTCGTTTCAATTCTGTGTGTGTGTGTGTAGGAGGCGGTGCGCTCCTCCAAAGAAGGTAAACTTATCCTCTCTTTCTTTCTCTCTCTCTCACGCCATCCGTTTTCTGCTCATTTATGTTGACTTACCACGTAAACGAATTACGTGCTGGCTTAATGGATAGATAAGAGGAGAAATAATAATACTTGGGGCCACGAGAAAATCATCAACAAAAACAACAACAACAAAACATGCCTTCCTGCCCTTTCCTGCAATTGCTGTTTCTTTCTGCACGTGTGTGTTCGTCCCCTCCCCTCATTCTCTCGTACGCCTTTTTTTTTTTCCTTTTCTTTGCTTTGTGTTTTTTTTTTTTCTCCGCCTGGAGTGTACGGACGCTTCCCGTTGAAGCCGCGGCGTCCATGAAGTGCAGACCATCTCCTCCCTTCGATCACCACCACCCCTCACCGCCGCCCATGCCCATGCCCATGTTCTCCATCATCATTTGCTGCATCATTTGGCTTTGTCGCATCTGCTGCAGTTGCTTGCGTCGCGCCTCTTCGTCCTTGGCACGGCGTTCAGCAATTTGCACGCGGTACCGCTCGAGGAGTCTCTGCACCGCGGCAGTGCACTGCGGCACGCGGGCGAGGAGTTGTACCAGCATTTCAGCCCGGTCACGCAGCATCTTCTCTGAGGCGCGGCACCATATCTCAAATAAGCCTGAAATGATGTCTGTTTTATCCGCCAAGCACGTAAAGAACTTTGCGCCGTGATGGCTGTCGCACATGAGTAATACGATGGTGAGAATGGAATTCGTAACGCGTGGGTCACCATTGACACTGAGATGCTCGGCGAGGCGCTGCAAGTTGTCCTCTTCCGCTAATTCCTCGTGGCCGATCCCGGCGCGAGCGAGATAACGGATGTTGAGAACGCAGTGCTCAACCACACCCTGATTGCTGTGCTCCAGCAAACGAAGAAAGTATGACATACCGCTTCGCCCTTCAACACCCCGCCCCACAGCCAATGCCCCCACGCGCAATGCACAGACATTCGCAAATATTCCTGTGAGTGCATCCAGGAAAAGGATGGGGCTCTGTGGATCGAGAAGACGCAGCATCTTCACTGTTGCAGGGATGCAGGCCAATGCATAGGCCCCCTCCGAGCCCGGTGGCACGTCGGTCTCCAAAACCACTTCTGCATCGTTGACTTGTGTAAGTGTTTGTAAAGCCTGCGCTATTTCCTCCATGAGCGCCTGTTGTCCTTGACGATGTGCCTCGCTCAGTGTCGTTAACAGCGTGCGGTAGCCACCCAGCATGTATAACTTGCGGCAGCCTTCCGCGTCAGCGCCAAAGACACGAACAATGGCTTTAATTGCCATGCTTACCCCCACCACATTCGAGCCGTCCTTGCTAAGAGTGGCAAGGCGCAACAGCGTCCCCCCATGCCGCATTGCGGACATCCTCGACGAGTCCTTCTTTTGAGCTGCATCTTCCTTTAGCTTGTTAAGAATGACCTCAGCCGCTGCAGCACGCTCCTCGTCCGTCTTTGCCTTACGAAGAGCTGTGAAGGGGGTATCAAGAGAACAAAGAATATTATGGCGCTCATGATACAGCGAGAAAAGAGAGGCAGCGGACAGTGCGGCAACGGTGCCATGGAAGAGAAACTTCCACACTGCCGGATTGATCGGAGACTCCATCGTGACAAGCGCAGAAGGGAAAATACGCCTGTTTCTCAGTCCTATAATGAATGTATGGGTGCAAAGGCAACTTCTCCTCTCCCTTAAATTCCCTGAGACTCTTCTGCTTTTATTAATCAGAAGTTATTATTATTATTATTATTATTATTATTTTAATATACGTGTGTATGGAGCACACGATTAAATAAAGCTGCAGACTACTTGACCTTGAGTTGTGGTACACCAAAGGAGATTAAAAGGGAGGTGGAAAGAAAAAAAAAACGACATAAAAAGAAGAAGAAGAAGAAAAAAAAATAGTACAAAGAAGCCCTAACAGAGTCAGTAGCAACAAAACAATGATACAGAGGAAAAGAATATCATTGCGCCTTCCCCCAACACACACACACACACAAAAGCTCCACCAAAAACTTCCGCCACCTACACAACCGAGGTTACATACAGGTGAGGAAAATCACACAAGGACGTACTGCACAAGCTTTTCCTCCAAGATAAGTTTCCCACCACCCCTCTTCGTCCATTTCTTAGTCAACACACCACTCTTATGCGTCCTCCCATTTTAAAGATACGGTGCCACTGGCCTTTCCGCTGCTCGCTCCTCCTCGGACTTCACCAGACTATTCTTGTAGTTCAAGTAATCCTCTCGTTCGATCGTGGCCTCTTCTTTCCGGTTGGCAAGATAGTACCGCATAAGCTGCTCCTTGTCAAAAATAGGCTTTGGCATAATCTTAGAGTTTTGCCGCAGTGACGGTGGCAACAGGCCGGCCTTTGCGAGCAGGGCCCATGGTCGCATGGACAACCGACACCGTTTCACGCCAAACCAGTACTTGAACGCATCCACGTCAACGGTGGTCAACATGAACAAGTGTCTGTCTTGCGCGACTGGGGTGTCGGGTGACCACAGAGACTTCTGTGGGTGCGGACAGTGCTTGCCGAGGTAGTGCAGCAAACGGGCATCCGAGTTGCGACGCTTGTGGGTGTGCTCTACAAAAAGATCATAAGACTGAAACTTCCACACAACATGGTGGCCACGCATGCGGATGATGGGTGCACCAGGAGCTCCCCACAATTGTGGAGTGCGTCGTTTGATGATGGCTCGAGCCCTAAACAACGAGGTGAAGTGAAGCATGTCGTTTGCTTTTATTGTGTTGTTGTTTTTGTTGTTTCCTTTCTTCCTTCTCCTCCTTTACAGTTACCGGATTTGATTCAAACCCCCCAGGAGCCGTGCTGGGCAGCAGCTTAGGCCTCCACACACAAGTACACACGGCACTCCCTATTTTTTCTCACCACCCCCCCCTCCCGAAGAAAAAAAAAAAAAAAAAAAAAAAAAAGGAACAACAAACTGAGAAACAACAAAAACGACAACAAACGAAAGTAAAAGATAGTGCACTCAATATATATATATATAAACAAGAAAAAGAAAAAAAATTCCATCTGGAAACATACTGCGGGAGAGGCAAAGAGAAAGAAGGAGTATTCAAAAAGAACAGAGGCCCATTCACAATTTTAAAGTGGCAGTGTTGGTGCTTCCCCCCTGTTCCTGCCGTCTAACCAAACTCTTAAAAACAAAACAAAACAAACAAAAAAAAAAACCAACCCTGTTCACAACTCACAATCATTACTCTACTACTACGGTTTAATAGCATGCAAACAGACTTATATTTTGATTCTTCGTAACCCAAACAGAATGCCAATGGCGAGCGTTGCATAGCCCATAAAGCCGGGGGCAATGCCACCAGGCCCCAATTTTGTAGCAACATAACGCATTCGATTTTCAATTAGAAAATTAAGGTCCTCCTTGTTCAATTCCCCATCCCCGTTTACGTCCGCCAGCTGCTTCACCTTTTCTCGAAAGGCGGCTTCCAGCAAATTCTGATTCACAAAGTTAAATTGCGCCAAGTACTGAAGTCCGCTGTAGAAAGTGACTGAGGATGAAAGGATAAGAGTCTTGCTTTGATACAGACGGTGTGCCATCCTGCCAGCAGCAAGCCCCATTGTAAAACCAAAGGCACATTGACCCATAAAAGGAAGTACCCCGTCCAAAGTGCCCTGATGGTGTCGAAGGAGTTTTTTTAGGTCCCGGTCATACATGATTTGGAAATCGCGCGCAGTGACACGTCCATCCCCGTCAGCATCCAGGCACCTCACCAACTGCGCGGAAGCAAATTTCCCAAAATCGCTCTGCAGGAAGTCCTGGAACTCCTGGTTTGACCACAAGGGGCTTAACATGGCTTTTCCCGCGTCCACAAGGAACTCAAACAGGGCAAATGATCCATTCTCGCTGCGCGGCTTGCCCAAAGAAAACACGGTGTCAAGAGCCTCCTCCAAATCCTTCGTGTTAAGTCGCTGATTCTGCTCCAAGGATGATGGTGGCGTTTGCGACTGCAGTTCTGACGTGCGACCACCCATCGCTGTATACCCGCAAATGAAAAATATTCCAAAAACAGATCTGCACACACAAATGCAATCGATAACAACAATAAAAAAGAAAAACCACGAAAATTCTTAAAGGAAACAGAAACGACAAGTATGCAACAACTACAGCAACAGGAAATAATGATAATAATAACAGCAGAGAGAGAGAGAGAAACATGATGTATTTTCTTCGTGTTGCCTCCATCATCACGTGCATATTTTTTAATTTGCCAATAGGGAGTCCAAGACGACCCCGCACTATCCATCATCATGAATTACTGACGAAATAAGGGTGGAGTTGTGGAAAGCGCTCTTCACCCGCCTCCTGCACTCCTCCTCGCAGTGCCCCTTTGCTTGACGGCATTTCCTCGAGGGATGCCGCCCACGTGGTGGCTGGTCGCTGGACGAGAGTCAAACAAAAAAATGCCGTTGAACCACTCCGTTGCGCAAAACCCCTAAAGGCCCTTGTGCCGGCGACCCAATCCACCCCAAAAGGTCTGGGGCGCTTCGTGGGCAGTGCGCGAGACACGAACTCGCCCATAAACGCACTTCCTTTCTCACGACGCACGCAGCGCAAACAATACGAGAAGAAGGTACGACCATCATTATTATTAATATTATTCCTCTCATTGGGTGTGTCTGCCAGACGCATGCTGGCCTAATGGATTCCTCCCCTCCCTTTTGTTTGCTCTCACACA